AAAAATACAACTGCATTAAATAATATTATGAGATACTTTTAAATATTTTTGAATATGCAAACAAGAAATGATGGTGGAAATTATACTTTTCAACGAAATTAAAACGCCAGTGCCAGTAGTGTTTAATGAGTGAGTCATTGAGTCATTCATTCAAACAATTCGTTCAAACAGTAGATTCATCAGATGTTTATGCGTGGGCTAATGACACTTTGACACGGATTCAATCAGCAATGAATCGTCTGTTTGCTGTGAGGTGCGCTGTGTTTCCGCCTAAAATGAAAGTGACCTAATATTATTGTATTTGCTTATTGAACTGTTTGTAGAACTATTAAACAGTCGTAATGGTGAAAACGTTGTTTGATGTTACCTAACTAACTGCATTTATGAGCCTCGCCTCAGCAACAGATGCATAATATACAGTCTATGTGCCGGGACACAGCCCCGGACGGCCTCGGCCCAATTTAAACCCTGCCTGCAGAACAGAAATACTATAGTTTCTCTCTATATCTTCCTTTTAAATGTATCAGATGAATATTGTACTTAACATCATTTGAATCTTCCTCTCCAGGCTTTGATCTCTCTGCCACGCCTTCATGTTCACAAACAACGTTTACCCGAAGATCAAGACGATTAATGGTACTGATGCAGATCTGAAGACGTTCTTATTGTAAGAGAAAATTGCATAACCAATAACATTGTTTATCTGTTGTCTTTAAGGTTTGTTTTTCTGCTAATTATTGTAATTCTTACAATAATTGCTATTTCATTGCCGGTCCTCATTATAGCATTGATATCAGCGAGTGAATGCAATTGTGCTCATCAACAACCTCACTGATGTCTAATCAGTTTCTATGTAACATTTCTGATTACTTTTGAATGCAGATGATGATTAAATACTCTGACACTGATGGAAACTCAACTTAAGCTGCAGAAATAGCAGTGGATGTCAGATTTGCATGTATAAATAAAGCAAAAAGTCATTAAAGGGTGTGATTTTACCATGGTAAAGAGCTGTTGTTAGGCACGATACAAAGCCTCAGTACCTTTTACATTAGTAAAATCACTGTACAGTAATCCTTTCATCGAGATGGCTATAAGCACTGTAAAAAGCAAATTAAATGGAATAAACAATTATTCAGACAAGTAGTTCAGTAGCTGTTTGTGGTTGCCGTATTTATATAGTATTCAGCTGATGTGTGGGCACATGTGTGCATAATTTACAGTAGCTTTGAAAGCGGTTTACTTAATAAGACTGAGCGGGAACCGTCCGTTTTATAAATGCACAACAGTAATAGGAATATTGGGCAGCATATTGACCGCATGTATGCTGAACATAATGAGGGAATCCAACTGGTATTTCAGGAGTTTTGTGTACTTCTAAATAACTGATGCCGAGCCAAATTCATTGGCATGAGCTGGCGTGTGCTAGCTAACCTTCTGGTTCACCAGCCGTATGACGAATATGAACCTAAATATTACATCAGACAGCATTTAAATTAGCATTTTAATGGAATTTTCTCTCTGTACAAGAGCCACTGAGGCATTTGGTGTGTACAATTGCACCATGAATAATGTGTTACTCAGTGATGAGATGTAAAAAGTTAAATATAACTGGACACCATTAATCCAAACCGTTCTTTTTCATGACAGCTCACTTGTTCTCCCTGAGTTTGAACTATGGATTCATAAAAGTGCATGAATAGAGAGAAAAATAGTTCAGTTTAGTAAATAGGAAGCAAAATATGTAGGAATGATCATTTATTGCTAGCAGAATTCACTAGTTAAAGATTTAGAGTCAAATGGTAGATGTTTAGTTCTAGTGACACTATAATCAACACTAAACTGTGAAATCTCTGGTTAAATGACGTTTCCTAATATTTGTTTATTGTCTAATAACGTCTAATATTAGACAATAGTCACATTCTCTCACATATTCATATATAGATTCTAAATAAAGTCTATAAGACCCACCAGTCTGCCTTAATATAATCATAGTGCTGGTTTTAGGGGGATCACATTCATATTCGAGTGTCCATGTATGTTATATTGATATGTATCATATCAATTTATTGGCAGCATTTCAAATTGGAGGACTTTTTCGCATGCAGCTTTAGAAATGTACAGATCATTGAAATCATGTATCGTTTTGTGAAAATTGTGGTGTTCAGTGTTCAGAAACAGTTGCATAACAAGACTGGAGACACTTCCAAGAGAGACCTTTTTATTATTTTCTTATTATTTATATACTACTATTTTAGCATTTATAAATATTTAGAATTCACTTTTTACTATTATATTATATTATATTATATTATTATTATATATTATATTTTAATATTATATTATCTACTAAATGTTATATATTTTATTTTAATTTTCATGATAATTTTAGTTGTAGTGATCTGTTTGTGCTTTTGTCAGTTTTATTATTATTTGATTATTTTGTTATATTTCTATTTAGCTGCAATTTATTGTTTTAATTAAAAAACAATAAAGTACGTAAACTTCAAATGCATTAAGTTAGTTGCCAAACATTTCTAATGGCCAATTATTTATTTATTTATTTATACATTTAGTTTAATTTAATTTAATTTTACAGAAAACACTTTTTAATACTTCCAAGTTCGATGCACAACAACACTGACCCAGAGGGGGCTAATTAGTAATTTACACTCTTAGTATTAATAAATTAAATTCTCATCAGTGTAAGAAATTAAAGTACCTTTGCATGTTGTATGTACATGCATAAATATGCTTATGTTGGATACTGTCAGTACGTTGATGTTGAACTTTTCAGTATCTAATTGAACAATGCAAAAACTGCATATGAATACGAACAAGCTGATGTTGCTTTTAAATATATAGGTTGATGACATAAATGTTGTCGTTTCAGCCCCAAATCGATAATAATCCAGGAGCGATCCAGCTCATGTGCCTTTATGCAAGACATCTAACCTCAGGCCAGATTTCTCCAGGGTCGCCTTAAAATTAGTAAGTGAAGTAGTTACTGTTACTTGGCTATAATTTTCTTTCATAGTTTTTGTTGTCGGCCTGTGGATAATGGAGAAACGAACACTATAGTTGCCATATACACACCGCTCTCTAATGATTACTACCAATTACTGGCAGCTGTGTTACTATAATGGCAAGGTTTTAAAAGTCAATTGGACTTTGAGATGGCAGTGCAGCTGGATGATTAAGTTGAGGAATTCTAATATACCTGCAGAAAGCTGTCCGTTAGCATTACCATTCATTTCGGCGGCTGCTGCTTGGCTGGTGGAATTACACAGCCTGCATGCTGCCATCTTTGCTGCAGTTGGAAAGGTTTTTTTTTTTTTTTGATGATCCACTCACCAGGAGCCAGTTACACCAGCAATCTGTGAGTTTTAACGAATCCTAGTACTACTATACTGAATATTAGGGCTGGGTAAAAATTCATTAAGTGTAATTTTAACAAATCAGACAATTTTAACCTTCAACGTTATAGTAATGTAGCTGACTCTCATGTATATTTTACAGCATTAGTTGAGTTTTTTTTTTCCTTGAGAAAATTTGGCATGTACTGTACCTGATATATATCCAAAATAATCGATATTGAATCGAATCGAATCGCAAGCTTGTGAATGAGAATCGAATCGATTTGAATCGTGAAATTTGTGTCAAAACCCAGCCCTACTGAATATCTGATAGCTGCACTATTACATATGTTTAGATAAGGCATAAGTTTACGGCAGATAGATATATACCGATAACACTTTACAATAAGGTTTCTTTAATTAGCATTAGTTAATGCATTAACTATCAATGAGCAATGCATTTGTTACAGTTTTAACTACTTTTAAGTAATGTTAATAAATGGAACCTTATTAAGGTGTTAGCATATATCAGTGAGCTCGTGATTTTTTCTGACTGTATTCCTTTAATACAATGATATTGATATTTACACTTGCCTGTGTTTTAAGAGAGCGTGAATAAATGACTTACTAGAACTTCTGTAGCCTGAAACCAAAATGATGCACTTGAAGTCTAATCGGCACATTTTTTTATGCATCACTCCGTCACTTGATGCAACAAAAATATGAATTAAAATCCATAAATATCAAAGACATTTTTTTTTAATTAATTTTGTATGAGTATTTTTATTGCCTCTAAATAATTTTAGACACAGTCTATTTACATATTTAAATGTAATATTTAATTATGTATGCATCGTATTTCCATAGAGATTAAATTTTTGACTGCTAACAAGCATTTCAAACTTATTTTTCCTCATGTACACAAAAATATTATTGTAAGTTTATGTTGCGCAGTGATACCCAGAACCGTTGGGTGAAGTGGTCATAGCTGTGCTTTATCGTAAATAAAACACAGCTGCTGACCAATCAGAACCAAGAACTGGAACTAACCATTTTATAAGACAGTAATGCAATAAGCTTTCAATGAAGCAACTCAACGTTCCTTCATTACTAGTTATAAATTGATGTTTTCAAATTAGTAACAGAGGCTTGAACCTACGGCCTTATTTCCCATATTCTCCCTAAGTTTTTCTTATCTCTCATCTTTTAACCCAATCTCCGGTGGCACTTGATATGTTTACTTTGAGTAGAGTCTTATGTAGCTCTGTACCAACACCAAAGTTATTTTGAGGCTAGTTTCTTTTCTTTTGTTTCTGTTCTGTTGTTGTGACCTGTCAGTCTGAGCGTGGGTCATAACACTTGAAAATGAAACACACCTGCTACACAGACATTGTTTTCTCTGTTTATGTTTGAGGCTGTGCATGTTGTATTCAGCTGTATTTTTGTAGGGGCACAGTAAGGACACGTCCCGCCAGTCTATGTCCCAAAACGAGAGCTTTATCTTATTTAATCATGCTAAGCCAGCTCATTACTTGTACCCTATAGTGAAGCACAATCTAGTTAAGAGAAATCCCTCAATCCTGTTGGATACCAGCCCGGCCTAACCTACAAACCTAAAATCCTGACAACCTTCATTTTCAAGCAGTAGACATAAGCAGATATGCTTTATATTATATCCCTACTTGCCCTTTTAAATTGTTTATTATATTATTCATAGTTCAAATGCTGATAGCTTCATAAAATAATTGTGTTAAACACACAGAGAGGCTAAATGGATCTGGATGTTGCATTCATATCGATGTAATCAGGATTATTAAACGGCTCACATGAATACTTGATTCTGATTGGACAGTCAGGAAATTATCCGGTTAAATATTTATGTATAAATTACATAATATGTTATGCTCTCTTTCTTCACACGTGATAAAATAATTAGGACTCAATAAATAAATAAATTAACATGAAATATTGATTTAAGTAGCCATGCGATAAGTGCAATAATGTGCAGTACAGTCATTATAGCAACACAAACCGTATGAATGGAATATATGCTGAGAAAGGGGTAGGTTTAGGTAATGTAAAAAAAAATAACCATACTCCATCTTGGATAAAAGTTAATCCTTCACAATGTCTGGCAGCACTGAAATAATGAGCAATTAATGTACATTATATTCTTGTGTCGCTTCACTCTTACTGCATGCAAGGAGTCGGTCTTAATGCATCTATATAACTCACTCACCATGTGCGTCTGAAGAGCAGAAACAGAACTGAGATAAATGGAACATTTGTCTGCCTTGACAGAAGACAGCAAATTGGGATTAATAGAAATATATGACAGCGCTAGCGGAGCCAGGTGATCAATTCCAGCCAATTTTCCCAGACCTGGCTCGCTGTCCTCACCTCTGTCTCTGAGGAGAAATGTTGCTTTTATTTCAAATAGTGTGTCTGCATATTCTAGCGCTGTTTAGCTGCTAGCATAGTGTGTTTCAAATGACCTAAATATGGCATCATAATGATGTAACCTTGTTATCATATAGAGCTACAATTTATGACGGTACTGTTCTGCACTCTAGAATTATTTGTATTACAGAAATTAATAATTTAACTAATATGACTTGTTGTTTATTAATCAGTCATACTGTTGGCTATAAAACATTGCATTCTGGCCAAGAATTTAAAAATACCATCTGACCGACATGTAAAGCAGCCAGTCATAGGTAATTTAGCTTTTATGTGCCATAAAAAGAGGCTGTAACCTGACATTTTGTATATAAAACTTTTTCTAAGCGGACTGTAAAAAACATAGCATGACACATAGCAACAAGCTAAAACACCTTAGAAACAGCATGGCAAAAACACTCAGAACACACTGGTGCACAATAGCAGCATGTTGAAAACAATCACAGTACATTACTAAATGTGTAGTAAAAACAATTACAGCCCCCTTAGTAACTGCAAAGCAACAAGTTGAATACAATCACAACACTTTAGTAAATGCATAGCAACAAGTTAAAAACAATCACAACACTGGTTCCAACGAAACAACAAGCAAAAACACTCAGAACCTCTTAGAAACTGCTAAATAAAAACTTTCTGAACACCTTAGTAACTGCATAGCAACAAGCTAGAAACACTCAGAGAACCTTAGCAACTACATACAGTGACAACAAGCTAAAACACTCTGAAAACCTTAGTAACTGCATAGTAACAAGCTAAAAACACTCAGAACACCTTAGTTGCTGCATAGCAACAAGCTAACACACTCAGAACACCTTAGTTGCTTAGCTGCAGAGTGCCTTAGCAACCACATACAGTAACATTCTAAAACACTCAGAAAACCTTAGCAACAATAGCAACAAGCTAAAAACACTCAGAACACCTTAATAACCCCTTAGTTGTTGCATAGCAACAAGCTAAAACACTCAGAGCACCTTAGCAACCACTTACAGTAACAACAAACTAAAACACTCAGAGAACCTTAGTAACTGTATAGCAACAAGCTAAAAAACCTCTGAAAACCTTAGTAACTGCATAACAGCTAGCTAAAACACTTCAGAACACTTTAGCAAACCACATAGCAACAAGCTATAAATCCCTCAGAACACCTTATCAACCATACAGCAACACACTGGCAACCACCCACTTTAGTATTGTGAATGTGAGTTTTGCACGGGCAAAAACCACTCATGTTATTTTGAGAGAATGTATCAGTTTTAAATGAGTGTTTTTAATTTGTCCAGTGGATGAATGGTGCCTTTTCTGTAGTTTACAGACAAAAAAGCTGCTGCTTATTGGGTTGACAGATGGATTCCCCTGCTTTTTTTTGTCCGTACACTCAGTGAAGGTTAATGGCATTTGGTGGCATCGTGATCCCTGGGCGTTCATTCCTCCAGCTCTCTAGGTGTCTGCCGTCGCCTGCTTCCTCACGCTCCGCTCCGGAGTTACGAGGTGACACTGATGAACCATCTGTTAGGTTCATGTCACCCCAGCAGCGGCTGTGATGGGCATCAGGACGAGACGCTTTCTGACACTCGTGAGCTCCTGTGCTGCCTGCTCAGCTACTTTAAGCCCCAAAATAATCACCCCCGACCAGCAGCAACTCATCAGTCTGTCCTGTGAGACTCGCAGGAGGGTTTGAGTGGAAGCAGAAGACGGGATACAGATGAGTCTGACTTATAGGAGCAAAGGGTGAATCTCACAAAACCTGTCAAGCATGTCGCCAGAGTAATTTTTCACGCCAAAATCATAAAGAAATGTATGTTCTACTTAAGGAGGCCTGTTTTTAGGACCATTACGATTTCTTTGAATTGCATTATTATTCCATTATTTTAAAGGACCTAAAAGAGGATTAATTTTTATTTTATTTTTTATAAAAGTAAAATATATATTATTATTATGATGATTATTATTATTATATGTATAATATCATATTATTGATGTAGATTTTGGGCTAAAATTTGACCCGGACATTATGCGAGATGCACCTGAAGAGGCTTTGTAGAGTTATCTGTGTGTTTAGCTATGCCGTTTAATATTATTTGTATATGCATGGACAGTAAATGACTGTGAATGTGCGTTTTACATCTAAAAAGAGAACTATGAACCTCTCCAGTTTGCGAGTGGGCGTTCTGGCTTTTTTGGAACACTGGAGTTCAAATGCACATCTCTCTCAGCTGGTCTGGATACACGACTATATGAACCGTTTGGCTGGTATGTAGTTCTGTAGGAGTTGTGGCGTTTTTGATTTTATTTTTGGATCAAAAGCAATGAGAGGAGGAACAGATTCATCCTCCACACATGGGCGTACGGTTTCAGTGGGCCATGAACCTTAAGAATTGAGTCATTCCTGTTTGCTTTGTAGACGCATCACTTCCGCATCTTGTGTTTGCACCTTGCTGCATGCAAGATCACGGAAAATCGAATCAACCTCTTTTAGGAGGTTCCAAATTTAAAGAAGTTCTCTCAAGAAACTTAACAATGAACACGTTGCGCTGCATGATATCAAATCAGCGGGTGAACTTTTTAAGCTTCATTAAACACAAGCTGCAGGAACAATTCACTCAATAAACATTCTTTCATTATTCACTCTCCCTCATGTTGTTTCAAAGTTATATGCTGTTATTTTCTTGTAAAACACAAAAGTAGAAATGAAGGGCATGCTTAAGTTCACAGTGACCAGACGCTCCACAAAGAACCTGAACAGCATCTTTAAAAGTCAATTAAGTGAAACTGAAGATGGAGGAGACATAATGTGCTCTGTGGAAAATGCAGTCTAATTATCCTTTCTAAAATATGTTGGATGAGCTCAATCATGCATGCAGAACTTGTAGATTAACTTTTTGAGAGAGATCGATGAAGTTCCAAAGAAATGCATGATGCTATTTTTTTATTTTTTTTTACATTGTGGAGTTCAAAAGATTTTAAAAGATAAAGACAATTGTAGTATGAATAATTTGAGGCCACTGAAGTCAAGAACAGGACATGTAGTCTGTTGAACTGAATCAGTGATGTGCTGGTTAGGCTGTGACCGTTTCTCTCTTTTGTATTTTGTTCTAGTGCACTGAAGAAACTTTTGCTGAAAACACTAACCAGATATCTCTTGAAAAAAACAACGAATAAGGTGAGTATTTATTACAGTTATTTTGCAAATTATTCAAAAACTGCCTTTGACTGGTTCATCACACTTTAAATGAAAGGTCATGTCTGGTGCAATGCATTGTGGGATACAGTGTTTTACACCATATGCTGTGTTGTATACTGCACATTTTTGAAAACTGGCTTATATGTATACGTGTTTATATTTATGTATTCATTTCATTTCAGTTTTAGTATCATTGATATACTATTATAGTTTTTAATATTTTGAATTTGTTTGAATTTTTATATTTTCTGTTTTCATTTTGAGTTTTAGTAATTTTGTTGTTTTCGTCATTTTTTATTGTTCTATATATCTATCTATCTATCTCTCTCTTTATATATATATATGTATATGTGTGTGTGTGTGTATAATGCTTTATTTGTATAGCATTTTAGTTTGAGCCAACTTAAAGTTAAAATAAAATAACATTTAATAAAAATTAAAAAATAAAAGATTTTTATATTTTACTTTATTTAGATTTTTATATATATTTGATAACATTTTATTTTTCAAGGAACAAAAAATGTTTGTTTTAATTTTAGTTAATTATAATAACCCTACAGTACAGTCAAAAACAGTAATATTGTGAAATATTATTACTATTTCACAATATTATTACAATATTATTAAATAAAACAACTGATAACAGCTCTCAATGATATCTGTCGGGTCCCCGCTATAATAGCAGCAACATTCACAAATGTTTACAGAACAAGCGGGAACCCAGTGTGCCTGTAGTTTTCTCTATTTCTGTTTTATCCGTGATAGAAAGTCTAAGGCCTTCTTAAGCCGTACGGCTGACTTATCTAATCTGCGGCCTGTTATGCATCAAACTAATATTGCTGTTGAGACAAAATGCAATGCCATCAAGTTAGCATTTTTAAACATTCATTTAATACAAATAAATCATTTCTAATCAATGACTTAATAACCACAAACAACCTGGATTTTATGTTTCTAAATGAAACATGGCTAGAAGACAGCTGCAGTGCAACGGTCCTCAATGAAACAGCCCCTCCTAACTTCACTTTCATGAGTGTTTGCAGGACTGTTAGGAGAGGTGGAGGTGTAGCTGCTCTATTTAAAAATGTCTATCAATGCAAGCAAGTGTCATTTGGTCAGTACTTGTCTTTTGAATATCTAGGGATTGTGTTGAAAGGTGCTCCACGCATTCTGTTTATCATTATTTACAGGCCTCCAAAATACTCTCAAGCCTTTGTTGAAGAGTTCACAGAAATGCTATCAATGATTTCCTCAGAGTTTGACTGTTTTGCTATTGCAGGGGATTTTAATATTCACATAGATAATGCAGAAAACAAAACTACAAAAGAAATTATAACTGTTTTAAA